TTTCATTTAAATCACAGAAAAAATGTGGATTTGGGGTTACAGCAGAGTCGCATTTTACGCGGGGGTTGCGTTCTGAAGTCAGAGTGTAAGGTGAAAATTGCGTATAGATGAAAATCCCTTAAATTGCCCTTCCCGCTGGGCTTCATCGCCGAGCAGCTGCCACCGCCACAGGGCCCAGACAAGGCGGGCGTGGCGCCGCACAGCCTGTGCATGCAATACAACAGCTACACCTCCCACACGCACTCCTCACCCCTCTTGTCTTCTGCCGCTGCATCCTGCCAGGGCAGCCACCCGAGTGTGAGCAAGCTGCTGCCCCCCAGCCATGCCGGCGTGTGCAGGCAGTACCACATGGCGCCGCACTACACGCCGTGCCCCAGCTGCACCCGGTGGCCAGCCCCAGCAGCCGAGTGCATATAGCTGAATTTGTGCAAGTTAAATGTGTGTTAGACGCGACTCCACTGTACTTTTTGTAACCAAAAATTGGGGATTTTTTTAAATCAGAGAAAACCAGGCTCTCTGGTGATTAGCCAGTTATTTGTATGATGATTATTTGGCGCGTGGCCAGTCTTACTTTGCACGTGGCCAGTCTAAATTCATTGCACATGTAACCAGTTAATTGTGTAATATATGCCATATGTAGAAGGGGCTTCAGCTCCAAGAACACACCAGAGCATCAAACCGACTCCAACCCCAAGGCACCAGTAAGACTCAGCGCTCCCAGGCTTGGCTCCCCTGGCTCCCTCCGAGCAGAAGAGACCCGGCTTGCTGCAGCTGGGAGAGGGTGGCAAGTATCCCTGTGCCACTGCTCAGCATACACGCTGGCCTCGATGCAGCGTGGCGATGCTGACTGCAAGCTGAGTGCAACGCAGCGCCGAAGTGCCATGCCTGGCAATCTACCTCTGGGATGCTCAGCCTTCCTGTAACGTGCCAGCTCTGGGCTTGCACTCCTGTCAAGAGAAGCCATTTTGCTATTACCAGGCCCTGAGCGGTGCAGGACTCAGCTATGGGCCCTGCTACACGTTCATATGAAACCAGCTTGAGTTGTCCCACCTTTTCAGACATCAGCTTTATAGCAGGGTGGCTTTTTTGTGGCTGGAAAGACATTTTTATGGCGCTATCGTTAACTCTGCAGGCAGGGCTGGTTTACATTTATTGCTCACTCCACTGCTGCAATAATGCATGATGGGTGAGCTGTGCGATGCATGTAACGTGTGGCCTCTGTGAGACCACTGGTGGGGATGACACTGTGTGGTGCCCAAGGCACCCTTGGCAGGACCGCCAGGCGCTGAGGGATCCCTTCCTGAGCTTGGTATTTCCCCTGCCAGGTAAGTACCTCCCCCTCCACCGCGCAAAGTGGAACGGTCCACCACCGACCCCGCAACCATCCTCCGACTGGCACGCGCAAACACGTCAAATAACTCCCCACCTTTAGCCCTCAACTACGCATGCGTACTCTTTCCTTTGCTCTTTGCGGCTTTGTCGAGCGACTCGTGCCACACCCCCGTGGCCTCTTCCGGAACCGGAAGGAATCGGCTCCTCTGGAGGCGTTTCCGGTGTCGCCCTTCCGCTGACGCCATCACACGGCCTTCCCCACACACAACATGGCGGCGCCCGTGCTGCTCCCCGCGGGGTCGGCCCTGGGGAAGCTGAGGTGAGGCCGGGGTGTGCTGGAGACGCTCCCAGGCCCGCCCTTCCCTTCCCCTCCCCCCCCCGCAGCGTTGTCGCCCCTCGCGCGCGGTGTCAGTGACGCCTCGGCGGGGGGGGCGAAGCGCGTGCGGCGGCGGTTGGCGGTTGTTCGTCGGTTGGAGGAGAGCGGTGCCCGGGGTGCGGGAGCGGGCAGTGGGGCGGTCCCTGTCAGTGCAGGGGGTTGGTAGGGCTGCTACTGCATGAAAGGCAGTGTTGCCTGTTTTCAAGCACTAAGTTTTTCCAGTGGGGCCAACACTTTTACAGCTTGGCCCTCACTTTTTGAACGGGGCCACCTGCGCATGTTGGGCACTGCCCTGTGAGCTGTGTAATGCGCGTAATGTGTGGCAGAGGTTGTGGCAGTGGGTGCAAGCCCAAAAGGAGATGTGGCTACAGAGCTTAGGGGAAAGGGCAACACTAGTTTAACGCCCCCTGAGCAGAGCCAGAAATACATGGGGTGGGGTGAGGTGAGCTCTCGTGCCCCGGTAGGGGTGCCAACCCTCCAGGATTACCCTAGAGTCTGTAAGAATTAAATATAATCTCCAGGAGACTGCTGAGAGTCACCCGGGAGATAAATGATAGGGCATTCATTAAAATAAATGTTAAATGTTGAATCCGTTTGGTACAGTAGTCCAGTGGGTTTTTAAAATGTAATAGTAATGGGCATTTGCCTTCCTGAGTACAGTACAGTAGATCAGTCATTACTGTCATTACATCATGTGATGAAACTTCCCAGAATAGATTCAAACACAGTTGGCATCCCTAGCCTCTGGGCCAAGGCTCCTGGAGCCTGGCTGCGGTGTGAAGGGTTCCCTGCCTCTTCGTGCACTCCACTGGGTCAGCCCACAGGAGTGCAAGGAGTGGGGCTGTGCTGTGGGCAAGTGCTGGAGGGTTTCTACCATGGGATGACAGGCCCCTCTCCTCCCTGTCAGCCAATTGGCAGGGTGCGGCTGTATTTTCTTGGGGTGGGAATCCTCTCCAGCTGGGTCTGACAGCTGCTGCTTGTTTGTTTTTTTCAGCTGTCAATTGCTGCTTGATAGTCTGTTCCCTTCCCAAACAGTACAGTTCACCTCTTGGACTATTTTTCTACCAGGAAAACAGTCCAGATGTTTATAGAGGCCAGTTGTTTGTACATTCCAGATGTCCAGTTTATATAGTTCAGACATGTTTCTACCGGAAAACATTTTTGTGGTAGAAACCAGTGTCTGTATACAGCTAAGGGCTCCCACTCCATGGGACCTTGTAGACCAGTGGTCTTCGACTTTTTACATTTGCAGACCCCTAAAAAATTTTGAATGGGGGTACAAACCCCTTTGAGTTGTAAGTATATTCAGACATTTTTGACTGATCATAGTCACCTTTCATGGACTCCTTAGATGTAGTCTGCGGGTCCCCAGTGTTTGAGGATCACAGGGTAAAAAACACCATTGTAGCCTATAGAGGAAGAAAGGTCCTACCAGAGGTCCAACTCAGGAGTTGAGAAGTAGAAGCCAAAAAGGAAAGTCATCAATGTCAGCTTAGCGTCACCATTGGTGAAAAGTCAAGGTAGCACATATTTGGAGGAATTTTTGATCTGCAATGTCAAAAGCAGTGGAGCGCTTAAGGAGAGTGAAATTCTGAGTCCCTAGCTGAGCAGTATTCATTGCTACTAGATGCACACAATTTGGACTGCAATATTACGATCTGATATTTAATTGTAAAAATGTTTCTTGCTATGAACAGTATTTAATAGCTCTAGGTTGTGATTTAGGTCTGCACTGCTGTCATAAACATAAATAGAATTCGAAGAAGGAGGGGGGGAAACTTGATGTTGAAAGATAAATTTTAACTAAACAACAACAATGTTTTGATAGCCTGGTATAATGCAAATGATACTCTACCATCTTCAGCCATAAACAATATAGAGCTGTTCTGAAGAAAGAGAAAAGAAAGAAACGGAGACGAGCGCTAGCCAGATTGAGAGATTCCGGTAAGAACTTTTGTTGCAATTTTATACGGGTATGCTATTTTATTTTCTTATAAAGACAATGGGAAGGAATGCTAAAGCGTTACAGCATCAAAGGAGACTATTGTGTTGTTTAATCAGTGTTCTAGAAGAGTAAGAATTTTTAAAGTAGAAATATAAACTTTAGAAGATATGATTCTGTCATTCACTGAGAAAACAGTGTGAGATCACTTGGAATCATGCGTAGTAAAATTTCTGGAGGTTAGTTTTTTCCTTATTAAAGAGTCTTAAGCTTTTTCTCTACAGTGTTTACATGTATGCATGAGTACCTCTGGATAGAAGCAAACTTAAAAGCTCTAGTAAGAACTCCAGTTTAGAAAGTTTATATTACATAAGTTCTTTTCTACCTTCTTATTACACTATGGTAAAACCAAAGAGAAAAATTGTATTTTAGCTCTGTGTACAGAAACCTATTCCTTTTCTTTCAGAAATCACAGAAAAAGATGAAACATTGCCTGATGAGGAAGAACTAGAAGAAGAGGAAAAAAAGCTTGATGTTGAAAGGTGAATATTCTAAAATTTAAGTATCTGCAGTAGATGCGTTATTTTGTATGTTATTCATTTTACATAATGACAAAAGTATACATTTT